CAAGGCTGAAATTTACCAAGTTTCTGAGGCAAAATCACAACTTCAACAGGATTCAGACACAGAAACAAACTGAAATACAGACATGTTTTGCTTGCTTCACCCAAGCATCTTCACCTAGAGTTCTAGCTTAGCTTGGCCTGCCTACTCTTCCTGCCTCTGATGGTATTCTGTATGGGCCTACAATCAAAATGCAGACATCCTCAGATCCAAGGAAAGAAATAATTTGCATATGTGTTTGGATGAAGAGTAGGAATAGAACCTTTTACCCAAATGCCTTGCCATCTGAGCTATAGACACTGGATGTCCTCTGTGTTTATAATATTTTTCAAATTGTATATGTTAATAAGTAGTAATTTGTTTGGCCAACAAGTGACCATTTCAAAATATTATATAGACTTGGATTTCTTTTCATGACAGCAAGACGTAGTCTAGCTGTTCCTTTCTTTCCATGTTGTTAAAATATAAGAACATCCTTCTCTCCCACTTGCCTTATTTATGGGGATTTCTCAATGGATTATTGATTTATTTCAGGATGAAATAAACAAGAAAACAAGGTCCATTTGAACACATTTGCACTAAAGGAAAACTCCAAAGAATGAATGGAGATGAATGCAACCATCTATGGAGATGTCATTCAGGCTAATTTAAGAAGTGGGGGAGGTGGAGTTTACTTATACTCAGAGGTAGCAGAGCAGATAAATAGAAAGTGGGTTAAAATCTCCTGCTGAAGGAGAACGTTTGTGCCCAAAGTACATTTAGTCAGCTTCTTTATTTGTATTTGCCATACTGTTATTCCAATTAAATTCACGACTGCTGTTTGCTGTTGAATATGAGCAGATTCTTAATGAATGTAAATGTTTCTCTTTCTGCATATACATATTTCTCCTGAATTGTTTTGGCTCCCTAATTTGGTGAAATGTTCTTTGTTAAGATGAGGTTTCTTCTTTCACTTGTTGGCAATTCTTCTCTATTTTAAGCACTATTTCTTATTTTTGGTGGGTGTATTTGGGGGTACCCATTTATTTCCCCACTCTGCACACTAATGATGCATTCCAGGATTCATTCATTTGCAGAGTTTCTAAACAGCCACAGACTACAGTTAGTCCTTGACTTACAACAACGGTCATGGTTTAGTGACTGTTCAAAATTACAATGGCACTGAAAAAAGTGATTTGTGACCATTTTTCACATGGCTGTTGTAGCATCCCCATGGTCATGTGATCAAAATTCAGACATTTGGCAACTGACTCATGCTTATGACGGTTGCAGTATAAGTGAACTCAATCCTACTCCTTTTCAGCATGAAATGACTGTTTGCAATGAGGTAGAGTTACTTCTAATCACTTCTTCCTGAAAACGTGAACTTTTATAATGTGCATTTGTCATATTCATACTCAGTATTGTTAGTATATGGTGAAAACAGTTTAACTATGTGACTAAAAGAACGGCACATAGTCCTTCATAGTCATAAGCTCATTACTGTTTGTGTTTTTGTGGACACTGAAATATTGATGGTTCAAAGGGGGTCACAATAATAAATTTCCACTAGTAGGTTAATTAAATTGTTCTGTACTCAGCCTGGTAACTTGCTAATTCTGTCTTTATCTCCCAAAGTTTAGTCGAGAATGAGAAAAATGAGAATTGGCAATGAGTCAAATCACATATGGGGCTTTAATTACTCAAATGGCATAATTAAAATGCCATCATTTACAGACTAGATGGGCTTTTCAAATCCTAGTGCTTTTTACCCTGTAACCAGGGCAATCATAAGATTAGGAATTAACACAATATAAACTTTCTCAATACAGGATTTCTAAGGTATGTGATCTGGTACAAAAACATAGCACAAAAAAAATCATTTGAATATTTGGACATGGAGAGATCCCAAATCTCTGCGAATTGAATAGGACCAATTTTTATGGCTCAGAGAGGTTTGTGGTTCTCCCACCATAACACAGATACCAGTGTCTCTGATATCTCTCACCCACTAAATAACAAGAAACTTCTCATCTCTTGCTCTGTTGTAACAGAAAATCTATACTGCACTTGCCTGCATACTTCATAGCAGTTTCCTCAGCTTGCTATTATCATAACTTCCTAACCCACCTAATAGCAGGATTTTGCAGATGGATTACAAAACTCTTCAAACTAAGCACAGGACGGAACTTGCTGCCTGCTTGCTAGGGAAGAGACAGGCAGAGCGTCACACACATTACAACTTGCTGTATGTCAGTTTATTCCAATTTGGTGACTATTAGATTTTGTAGTGCCCTCAATACCTTCGTTGGCAGGATATATAATGGATCGACAATGCAACAGCCCCTTTCTGCTCCAAGGCAGCTGAATTACGGTCCTCAAAAAAGTTTATAGCCACAATAACCTAGTAATCATTGTAACATTGCATCTGCAGGGAATCAGGACTTTTTAAAATAAAATAAAATAGGCCTCCTTCAAATTGGGGATTGAAGCTAAGATAAAAATAAGAAAAAAAATCTACATGGATTTTTGCCTGGTCACACCTTAGTTTTGCAGATCAAGCCTTTCCTGGTTGATCTTCAGAAACAGAAACACCTCAGCCCTGGCTGGCTGAGGAATTCTGGGAGTAGAAGTCCACAAGTCTTAAAGTTGCCAAGTTTGAAGACCCCTGCGCATGCCTGAAGATGGCGGACGCCCATTTTGTAGCTCCGCTGTAGTGGAGCCGAAAATGGGCAGAGGGGGGCCTTGGAGACCCCCGAAGGTTCGGAGACCCGTCTGGAGACCAGTCCCCAGGTTGACCTCTCCCCGGTGAGTTCCCCGGGAATGCGAGGGGACGTGAGAACGTGGAGCCGACCGGGTAGCCGTTTGTCGGCCTGTTCGGCCTTTTCGTCCTTCGGCGGCCTCGGCGGCCTCGCTGGCAGCCTCGCTGGCGGCCTCGCTTTTCGTCCTTCGGCGGCCTTCGGCGGCCTCGCTGGTGGCCTCGGCGGCCTCGCTGGCAGTTTTTCCAGCGACCGGCGGTCTCTCCAACGGCTGGTGGTCTCCCTTGGCCGCGGAGACATTTTTGACGACCTCAGCGGTCTTCCTGCGGCCCTCTCGGACCTGAGGGCCTTTCTGGTAGCCTCGGCGGCCCTTTAAGAACTGTACCAGCGGCCCCGATGGCCCTTCCAACGGCCCCTTCGGCAATCCATTTCGGCCTCGGTGGCCTTCGGGCGGCTTCTCCAGCAGCCCCGGTGGCCCCGATGGCCCCTCCAGCGGCCTTTGGTGGTCTTTGGGCCTCGGTGGCAGTTTCGGCGGCCGCAATGGCCTTGACGGCCTGTTCAGCGGCCTCTTTGAGGGCCCTTTCGGCCATCCCGGTTCCGGTGGCGTTGGTGGCCCCTCCGGCGATCTTTCGGCTTTGGAGCTTTCCCAGCGGCTCTGGCGACCTCAGCGGCCTTTTCAACGGCCTCGGCCAGGTGAGGACTTGGGGCCTGGTTCTGGACTTGGCCCGCCCCGGCCTAGAGGACCTGGTTCTGGAGGACTTAAGGACTACCCCTTGAGGTCAGACTCTTTGTTTCCCTGGCTTTGGTCAGAAGACCTGAGATCTACCAAACAATCATCTCCCCTCTGTGCCATGGACTCCCTTCGCCGGACCTATGTATTCCAGGACGGTCCTGTTGGCCCTGC